GATTTGCTGATAAAAATCAAAATTTCGGGAAGGGAAAGGCGTTGTTTTTTTGGGATGTGGGAGCTCGATTTGCTGATAAAAATCAAAATTTCGGGAAGGGAAAGGTGGTTTTTTTTTTGGGATGTGGGCGCTCGATTTGCTGATAAAAATCAAAATTTTGGGAAGGGAAAGGTGGTTTTTTTTTTGGGGGGGTGTGGGCGCTCGATTTGCTGATAAAAATCAAAATTTTGGGAAGGGAAAGGTGAGTTTGGTTTTTTGGGATGTGGGAGCTCAATTTGCTGATAAAAATCAAAATTTTGGGAAGGGAAAGGTGGTTTGGTTTTTTTGGGGATGTGGGCGCTCGATTTGCTGATAAAAATCAAAATTTTGGGAAGGGAAAGGTGGTTTTTTTTTTGGGATGTGGGCGCTCGATTTGCTGATAAAAATCAAAATTTTGGGAAGGGAAAGGTTTTTTTTTTTGGGATGTGGGAGCTCGATTTGCTGATAAAAATCAAAATATTTTGGGGGGGAAAATGTGGGAATTTTTTTGGGTGTCGTGGGTTTGTGTTCCCGGATTTTCTGCTTGGGGAATCCCAGCGGGGTTGGAGGTCTTTTCCTTGGAATTCCTGGAGAGGGTTTGGGGTGGAATTCCTTAATTTAATTAGAAATGAGGAGTTTGGGGGCCTCAAAAAATAAAAAAACCAAAAAACACCTTTTTTTGAAGAGCCATTCCAGGATTTTTTTTTTCAGTTTTTTAGGGAACCAGCTGCTTGGAAAAGCAAAGGGCTGGTTTTTCCCGAAGTTTTCCCAAATTCTCCCAAAGTTCTCCCAAAGTTCTCCCAATTTTTCTCCCAAATTCTCCCAAAGTTCTCCCAAAATTTTTCCAAAGTTCTCCCAGAGTTTTCCCAAAGTTTTCCCAAATTTTCTCCCAAATTCTCCCAAAGTTCTCCCAAAGTTTTCCCAAACTTCCCCCAAAGTTCTTCCAAAATTTTTCCAAAGTTCTCCCAAAATTCCCCCAAAGTTTTCCCAAAATTTTTCCAAAGTTTTCCCAAATTTCTCCCAAAGTTCTCCCAAATTTTCTCCCAAATTCTCCCAAAGTTTTCCCAAATTTTCCCAAAGTTTTCCCAAAATTCCCCCAAAGTTGTCCCAAAATTTTTCCAAAGTTCTCCCCGAGTTTTCCCAAAGTTTTCCCAATTTTTTCCCAAATTTCTCCCAAAGTTCTCCCAAATTCTCCCAGAGTTTTCCCAAATTCTCCCAAATTCTCCCAAAGTTCTCCCAAAATTTTCCCAAAGTTCTCCCACAGTCTTCCCGAAGTTCTCCCAAAGTTTTCCCAAAATTCTCCCAAAGTTCTCCCAAATTTCTCCCACAGTTTTCCCAAAGTTCTCCCAAATTTCTCCCACAGTTTTCCCAGAGTTTTCCCACAGTTTTCCCAAAGTTCTCCCAAAGTTTTCCCAAAGTTCTCCCAAAGTTTTCCCAAAGTTCTCCCAAATTTCTCCCAAATTTCTCCCAAATTTCTCCCAGTTTTCCCAATTTTTTCCCAAAGTTCTCCCAAAGTTCTCCCAAAGTTCTCCCGAATTTCTCCCCCAGTTTTCCCAGAGTTTTCCCACAGTTTTCCCAGATTTCTCTCAAATTTCTCCCAGAGTTTTCCCAAATTTCTCCCCCAGTTTTCCCAGAGTTTTTCCCCCCAGTTTTCCCAAAGTTTTCCCAATTTTTTCCCAGAGTTTTCCCAATTTTTTCCCAAATTTCTCCCCCAGTTTTCCCAGCATTTTCCCAGCGTTTTCCCAGCGTTTTCCCGATTTTTTCCCCCCCCGGCAGGTGCGGGAGATGAAGCGGGAGAGCCTGGAGCGCGACCTGCGCTTCGTGGGCTTCATCGTCCTCTCCTGCCCCCTCAAAGCCGACTCCAGGGCCGTCATCAGGGAGATCCAGAACGCTTCCCACCACGTGAGGAAACTGTTCCAGGGGGAAAAACACCTGGAAAACCCCCCCCCCCGGGGAGATCGGGGAGGGAGGGACGACTCTGGCCTGGGGAGACGATTCCTGAGGGCTGGGAGATGAGGGGGAAAGGGGGAAAGGGGGGAATGGAGGGGAAATGGAGGGAAAAACGGGAAAAAAGGGGGAAAATGGAGGGGAAATGGAGGGGAAAATAGAGGGAAAATGGAGGGAAAAAAGGGGGAAAATAGAGGGGAAAAAAGGGGAAAATGGAGGGAAAAAAGGGGGAAAATAGAGGGAAAAAAGGGGGGAAAATG